ATCGGATGCAGTCGTGGGAACCTCGGGAAACTGTTCAATCGGATCGATGTCCATCGAGGTCTGACGGTGGCTGGCCATCGCGTCGGGTGGGTCGGGAGGTTCGGGAGTACAAACCGGGCTTGAGAGGTCGAAGTCTACGGAAGCCAAGCAATCTCCAAGGAGAGAGCAGGCCCCACTACAACTAGTAGAGCCTGTGGTAAACACAAGTAATCGTACTGGGCAATGAGCTTCACTGTTTGTTCTCGTGTGGACGTATCGAGAGTCGAGGTAGACTGTCGGGTAGAGTGGGACACGTCGCCGAGGCGGAATTCCCCCCTAGAGCCCGAAATCGAAGTGACACCGGACACTCCCGTGCGTCGCCGAGGCGGAAACGGGGTAACCATGTGAGACCGGTCGGCTTCGTGAGCATCTAGTTGAAAGATCGAGAGCCTTCTCGAAATCGTAGGATGAAGGCTGGTGGCTCTGCGGCGATGATGGGTCGCATTCTCTCGTGTTGGGCGAAAGCACTCCGCATCGCCGGAGCTAGCATGTTCGAAGTACACGAGATGATCGCAGATGCTTGTTCTCGAAAGAATGTCGTCATCGGCTCGAAGTTCGGCATCTGTGCCGCGAACAGGTTGAGGTTGTGGGCTGCGTGGCACCACATTCGAAGTCGATGCATGCGGTACTCCACCGATGTATGACTCAAGTCGGAGAGGGACGCCGTCATGCAATGCCAAACCATCGAGTAGATCAATGTAGTCCGGGGTTCGACGAAGTTGTTCGGGACACCCAAGAACAAGACCCTCTCCTGGAGAGTGTCGTCCTGTGGGGTGTGAATCGGGAGGTCGATGTACAGCCCGAACTGTGTCAGATAGCTCCCGAAGGTCGGGCATCGGAGAACCTGTTCGAGGTAGATGACGCCGTCATATGTGATTTCCCAAGGGGAATCGAAGGCAAAGGACGAGTATGGGTGGTTGCCTGGAGGAAGCATCGCGACATTGTGTCCGCCCACCGGAGTCATCGCCTGTAAGTTCGGGGACATCATCGGGAAGTTGTCGAAGTGTCTCAAAGTCTGGAATCCGAACACAGGTTCGTGTGATGTCGATGGATTGGATCGGACATCGTCGATCGACGTCCTGCCCTTGTCAACCACCTGTGTGTCGAGCCACTGTACTCGAAATCTCTCAAGGCAAGACTGTCGAGGTGGCTGTGGCTGAATCGCGGTCGGCACACCCGTGTATGGACTCTGCATTGATGTCGCGACCATCGAGGAGGATGCAGCTCCAGCCTGGGTCGTGTTCGGTGTCAGGACCTGTCTAGGGTCTGGTCGTGACAGGTCCACAGCTGGGTGGACCGTAAACCTCGGAGGAACCACTTTGGGCATAGCCTTCGTCTGTGCCCCCACAATAGTCGTGGTAGTAGGTGTGCCGAAAGCTGGGTTGATCCACTCGGAGTCACTCGGGTTGTTGGTAGTAGTAGTTGTGGCTGGGTTCTTCGGCTGTGGAACCGGGGTACTCATCGGAGTCGTGGTCGGAGGTGTGGCCGGTGCTGCCATCGGGGGAGTCGGTGGTTCCGTTGTATCGTCGTCCGGATGCCAAGGATCCGGGGACACCGGTCGAGTCTGTTGTGTGGTAGTATTAGGTGTTGCTGTCGGAGTCGGAGCCGGGGTGGATGCTGTGATCTCATCCGGGACCTCGACGATTACCGGCGTGTTGTCGAGCCATCGTTTAGCCGGTGATTGCGATCGTCGAGGGAATCTTGCCGGTGACAATGGTCGATTTGAACCGCGAGCTGCTCCATCGCCGGGGCGGAAGGCAGCTCGGGTAGATCGACCGAAGCTAGGGGCATCGGAGTCTGTGTCCGTGCTCAGCTGGAAGAATGGTCGCCTCGGCGTATTGCTCGGAGGTGCTGTCGAAGGTGCCGCCGATGGTGTTGGGTTCGTAGGAGCAGTCGACGGTGTAGCTGCCGGAGGGAATCGCGATGCCGAGGAGGGAAAAATATTCCCTCGTGGTGTGATCGGAGGTTGTCCCCATGTCGCGGGGGGTCGAGAGTCATCGCGTGCTCGTCGGGGAGATCGTCCTCGATGATTGCCCTCTGCCATTTCTTGTCGGAGTCTGGCCGCAGCGTCGGATTTGTCCCATGCTTCGAAGTCGTAGTACTTGGAGAAGTTGGTGCCGAAGTTGAATTTGCGCATCTCGGTGTGGCGAAAGGTAGCCATCGTGTCCATGATCCACTCCTTTGCCTGTTCTCGAGTCACTTGCTCGAGGAAGGCGCCTCGTGATGAGTAGTGGTACGGAGGCTCACCGCGTCGGAGTTGTCGTTGTAGGACAACAGCTCGTCGCATGGCATCATCGAAAGTAATTCCGTGTTGGTTCCAACATGTGGTGTTGTGGTACTCGCAGCATCCCTGGAACCATTTGTGGCAGATTAGATTCGGCACCACCCATTTCTTGTTCAGGAAGTCGGGGTGTAGGTGCACACAGTTCTGCATGTTGCAGTTCTTATTATCGAGGATTCGGGGGCAAATCTGGCGTTTGATCGAGGACAGGGGTACTCGGGCTTCGTGGTGGACTCTTTCGGGGAACTCAGCGAGCATCGAGCTCGGCACAGGTGCAGTGAAATTCTGCGTCGAGCCCTCGCAAAGAAAATCGAACCAAGAGTCAGATCGAGGGACTGCCATGGCTTCGAAGTAACTAATCCAAGTCGATGGATGTCGTGTTAGAGGGCTTAAGGCGCCCTTCGAAGTTTCTCTTTCGAGCTGTAGAGGCGGCGGGTTCGGTATTATGAAGTTCGATGCCAAAATCATCACGAAAAATGTCTGCCAAATGCTGATTATGCAACTCTGTCTCGTGTAGAAGGAGAGCAGCATCAGTCTCCGCTGGAAGGGGTGCATGATCGGAGTCAGGGTGTAGGGAAGCCTCGACGATCTCGAAGGGCACCGTCAGCGGCTCCGCGGACTCGTCGCGGTTGGTAATGTGCAGGTACAGGAAGGCCTCGAGATTGGGCGGCTTCAACAAAGTCGCCGCTAAATTGACAATATCGTCCGCCGTCCGACAATAGGCGATCTGGTCGATGGCCTTCCGTATTTGTCGAGATTGTCGTTTGTTCCAGGCTCCCCACGTCACATCCTCGGGTTTCTCGATTTGAAAATCTTCGAGAACTTGCTCGCGGCTGAATTCCTCGAGCGATTCCTTCAACCTGTCAACAACTGACAGAGAAGCCGTAGTGCTCGAAGTACTGGCCGCCAGCAGCGGTCGTAGTAGAACTCGGGGTACTGGCCGCCCGGAGCGGCTATGACCGAGGAGTGATCCGAGGGGACTGAAACAAAATTTCTCAAGCTGGAACAGCTTGAGCCAAAATGGCTACGGAGTGTACAATCATTCGAATTGAATCGGTGAGTCTATCCCCTGACCGATTCGGTGATCAAGTGAGATAATATGTTGTCACTTCGCACAAACAAGTGTGTGCTACACATATACACTTAGGTCGAGGAGGTTCTAGGGTTTTCGCGAGTTTTCAGGTCTTTGGAGGCTTTGCAAAAGGCTGAAGCCCGCTCAAGCTTGATGCTAGTTCTTCCTCGTTCAGTATCCGAGGGGAACCAAAGGATAGCCTTCGAGAATATATATATATATATATATATATATATATATATATTATTTTTATTTATATCTATATATGGTTTAATATCCCCAAGACTGGCTAAAGTTAAAGGCTATCTGCTCTAGTCTACTCTGGGGTTTCGAGATGACGGCATGACGGGTATTCGGGCTTTCGGATAATTTGCAGGGTCGTTAACAGGATGAAGGCTTAAGGGGCAACAGGTTGTAGAGTGCTTATAGGCCGCGGGTTCGTGGCATTTCGTGGCTTCGTGTCATTAAGGTCTTACCTCTCTCTCTCTCTCTCTGCCGTGCCATCATCAAGTTTAAGGTCTTATACGCATCAGGATTTTGTACTGGCGTTGCGGGTCTTCTTGGGGTTTACTAGCAGGGACCCAAATAGCAAGAAATCAATGAGCCAGTAGAGAACCCTTAAACCCTAAACCTGCTGAAGCCCAAAGCCTGAGCCACAAAACTCCTCGTCTGGCGGAGTCCGAGCTGCGAGTGCGTAAAACTCCTGAAGCCTAAAGCCTGAACCCTGAAACTCATGAGCCCTAACCCAAAGCGTTTGCTTGGTTTGCTACATGGCTCCCAGCCTAGTTTTTTATGGAAACCTCATCAAAGCCTCATCCTGAACTGAATGCCATGTCGATGCTTAAACGGCTCGCGAAGCTCTGATGGACTTTTGCCAAGTTATGTTCAGAAAATTGGCTCGGGGGTTCCTGCCGAATATGATGCTGGGAGACTGCTCTCTTCTACGGAGGCTGTGTGTTAGGACTCGGGGCTCTGTGCTGCTCCAGGCACAACATCACCTCAAGCTACTTTTCTGAGTTATCATTACCATGATCGCCAATGCGTGCTCAACCAGAAGCCGAAAGCCTAAGTAAACCCTGCAACCCTTAGTTTTAACCCGTACCCTAAATCGTGCGGATGTCTTGGCTTCGCCTCGGGTCCGGTGTCAGGGCGAATCAAGCTTACGATACAACCGAATAGCACTAGCAAGCGGTTTCAGCACTCACACTCGGACATGCCTAGTGCGATGCACTAGCAAGCGGTTTAGGGTTTAGGCTTTAGGGGCTTAGGGATCTATGTTAGGCTCTTGGGTAAGAGCACACGGGATCTGGGAGTGTCCGAACCTAGGGATCCTAAATAGTAGGATCCTTATTTTAGGGACTCCAATATAAGGTAACCCTTATTCTCGGAAACCCTTTTTTGAACGAGGTCTCTCTGAAGTGCCTCCCGATGAGCCCAATTCCACAAACATGTCAACCTCTCCTGCTCTTCAGTTGAAGCCCTAAACCCTATACCCTTCTAGAACCCTTCAAGGAACCCCTAAATGAACCCTTAGAGGATCCCTCTAAAGGAACCCTAATTTTCGAAAAACTCCCATCTGGGCAAGTGCAAAGGACCCCATCGTGAGGCCTCTCGCAGGCGCTAAGCAGCGAATTGAGGGACACGGTAGTGGCCTGCTACAGATGTCCGAAAACTACCTTGAGTCTCCATTGTAGTTCCTTTTGGGCTATCTTAAAGGATCCCAACTCTATACTTTGTTAAACCAAAAAAGGTAGTGGCCTGCTACAGATTTCCGAAAATTCGGGGTACCTTTTTAAAGGGGGGTAAGGGTACTATAATAGGGTTCCTTTCGGCTGAAGGGTTTAGGGCTTCGGCATATAGGGTTTATAGGGTTTCGGCGCTCACACTCGCACCATCCATGCAAGGCAAATGGTTCGAGGTCTGCTGGGTGTATGGTTGAAAGGGAACTCCAGAAAGTTGGAATATGGTTTCATGGTAGGATACCCTATAATTTACTATAGAAGGGTTAGGATAATCATATTCCAACTTTCTGGCTTCTACTGTAAGGTTTAGGGTATCGAGTTGCTGCAATAACTACTTGTCAACGGACCCATAGTATCGGCGAGGATTAGCTGTCCAGTCTCTGGATGTCAACAAATAGAGTGGTGGTTGGGGGGGTTGAGGTTTGCAAGGAGTGGGCCACAGGCCATAGGTCACTCTCCAACGCGAAAGCAACCAACAACACGAAAATAACCACAACAACAGCAAAAGCAGCAGCAACAGCAACCACAACGACAACGACCAGGCCAACGACAACGACAACGACGATGACGAGAACGACAACACCAACACTATTACCAACACCAAACACCAGTACCGACAACACCGACACCAAGACCAAGACAAAAACCAACACCAGCGGCAACAGCAGCAACAGCAACAGCTGCAACAGCTGCAACAACTGCAACAACTGCAACAGCACCATCAACAACAACAACGGCAGCAGCAACAACGGCAACAACAACAACAGCAGCAACAACAACAATCGCAATCGCAACAGCAACAGCAAAAGCAGCGGCAACAATAACAGCAGCGGCAGACTGTGGCAGCGGCAGCAACAGTAGCAGCAGTCGCAGCAGCAGCAACAAGCAACAACATACTACTACAACTACTACTTCTTCTACTACTACTAGTTACTACTACTACTACTACTACTACTACTACTACTACTACTACTACTACTACTACTACTACTACTACTACTACTACTACTACTACTACTACTACTACTACCTACTATTATTACTACTACTACTACTACAACTACTACTACTACTTCTACTACTACTACTACTGCTACTACTGCTATTACGACGACTACTACTAGTACTGCTGCTAGTGCTACGACTGCTACCACTAAAACCATCACTACCACTACCACTACCGCGACCACGACGACGACTACTACTACTGCTTGTACTACTACAACTGCTACCACGAAGACGACTAGTATTACCACGACGACGACTACTACTACCACTAGTACGACTACTACCACTACTACTACTACTACTACTACTACTACTACTACTACTACTACTACTACTACTACTACTACTACTACTACTACTACTACTACTACAATACTACTACTACTACTACTACTACTACTACTACTACTACTACTACTACTACTACTACTACTACTACTACTACTAACTACTAACTACTAACTACTAACTACTAACTACTAACTACTAACTACTAACTACTAACTACTAACTACTAACTACTAACTACTAACTACTAACTACTACTACCTACTAGCTACTACCTACTACTACTACTACTACTACCACTACTACTACTACTACTACTACTACTACTACTCCTACTACTCCTACTCCTACTACTACTACTCCTACTACTACTACTCCTACTCCTACTCCTACTGCCACTACTACGACGACGACGACTACTACTACTACTACTATTACTACTACTCCTTTTACTACTAATACTACTAATACTGCTACTGCTACTGCTACTGCTACCACCACTACGACCACGACCCCGACTACTAACTAATTAACCAATTACTGCCGAAACACCCAAAGCCCAAAAGCCTTCTCAAGATTCTCAGCCCAGAATTAAAGAAGCACAATGCCAGACCTGGCCGCCCGAAACTGTGAGGGCCGCCACAGCCGCGGCTGCAGCAGCCCAGTTGTTGGCTGAGCCCGAGGCGCCTGTGGGATTCTCACGCACGGGATTAGGGTTCCTATGAGGGTTGCTATACAGGGTTTCGGGCAAAGACACGATGTAGAGTGTTTATATACATGTACACGCCATGTCATACCATACCGTACCTTACCATATCATACCATATCATATAAAATACCATATCATACCATACCATGCCGTATCATATTACGTCATCTCATAACATATATCATGTAATGTTACACACATGTATATATATATATACACATGTACAAATGTGTATAGACCAAAATATATGTATACAGATATACTTCATCATAATGCAGATGCGCGAGTGCTGTTATATATGAACAAAAGGTATTCGAAAAAGGACCGCTTAGGTTTCGGTTCTCACCCTCGCACAACGCAGGCAAGGCGGTTTCAGGGCAAGGGGTTTCAAATGGATAGTGTTTAGCGTTTACGGCGTAGTTGGTTCCGGGCCTTGGGTTCAAGGCCTCAGTGTTCCAAGATTTCAGGACTTGCTGCTACAAACTTCGGCGGGCTTATGCTTAGGCCTATAGGATCATTAGCACTGGACCTTTAGATGTGAATTGCTTGAGCTTGAGGATTAGTTGTCTCGCAAGCAGAAATTGACAAGGGCCTACCAGACCGCAAGCAGTGACTCACCATGGCAAGCAGCAAGTGCCTTGCCAATGAAAAAATGCTTCCAATCTGGCCTCACATGGGCCCGCCATGGTCGGGTGCCCACAATCAAACAATAAGAACGCCCTAGCTGCTAGGGTCAGCCATCCTGCTGTCCCAAACCCCAAACCCCAGTGACACGAAAAACTGGAATCATTGAATGGGGTCAGTGCCAAGCGACTCATGAGTGTGTTGAAGGAGATGGTATCCGGCCTGGCTTTTGTCGTGGTCGTGCCATACAAAAAGTAGTTAAATTAACCAGGACTCAACACGGCTAAGGTTGGGTTTTGAATAGGAGTACCTGATTGGGCTCAACGGCCAAAACCGTTTGGGGAAGGCTTTAAGCTTCAACGGCTGGGTGTAATATAGAGGTCTGAACTGTGACAGTACTGATAGCATTGCACCTATAGCCCACTTATGATTATCAACATGGCATAACCTGCTCCAAAATGCTCTTCTAAGGAGTTACTACGGCGCCTGGTATTACACTCTCGCAACTCGGACTGCACCAGGCGAGGTCTCTGTTTTCGGCGGCCGGTATTAGGATTTGGGATTTCAAGCTCTGGGTTCGCATTCGAAGGCTTTCCGAAAGCCTTTCTATCGGAGTCGGGCGCCTGTCAGCGGGTGTAAGACTCGCGAGGCCCTAACCCGAAATGCCTAAACGTACCCAAAGGGGCTTAGGGGTTTAGGGTCTAGGGACGATCATGGAATGTGATCGGCCCTAAACCCTCAACCTTAAACCCTAAACTTTAAACATCTTTAAACCTTCAACCCTACATCCTGGAATGTTGGAATCTTTCCGGCTCGGTCTCTTTTCGGATTGTGTCGTACGGCTACTCACTGCTTCTGCTACTGATGCTGCAACCACCGCGACTGGGTATTTCTATGTATTCCTGACATGATGCTGTGCCTGCCCGGAGAAAGCCGCCGACCGCTTGAAAGGTCAGTTTAATTCGACTAAACCCCTAAACCCTCAACCCTCGGTATCTTCGTACAAGCTCCTCAGAAGTCGGAGCTGGCCGCAATGTGTCGGGAATTATCGTGATCATTATCGGCGCCCTTGTTCTTAGCGAGAGCTGATGCTTACGAGCCCTTCTTGGCTGTGCTTACAATGCTCTGCAGGTACCCAGGTATTACCATGAAACTGTGACACATGCAGTCTTCTCTGCGCACACCAAGTCGCTGGTGCGGTCAATTACGTATTTTCAGGAACAGCTTCGTCAAATTGGGTGGTCCCCGCCTCCGTGTGCGACGATTGTGGATCCCGATTGGGCTACTGCGTGTAGCTCGATTGCGGACATCGAGGACTCCGTGGAACACGCGTGCGCGTGGTTCATAGTCCCTGCGGTCCGACATTCTGAGAATTTGTGGAAGCGTGCTTTGGGGTGAACTACGTGGTGCGCTCATTCGCTGGCAGATTTGTAAGGTTAAAAGCCAAAGGCGCATTGAAGATGTATTGTCAGACCTGAATGCGTGGTGAATGTTTGACCATGATGCGCTTGACAAAAGCCAAGCCAGCTAATTAACCGTGAAAGGAAGGACAGTTTCAAACAGAAAATGCCTGCCTGCATGCAATCTTTAGTCTGGTCTTCGTGAGAAGCTTTGTGCGTCGTAGCAGCAGGGCTCACAAAAAGCGAGTTTGAGTGTAAGTATCCCGGTCCCGCTGATTTAGCAGAAGACCTCTGGAGCCGTCAGCTGGAATGGCTTCGAACGATGCAGGAAGATGTCCGCATTGATGCTACTGGGGCGGATGTGCCTCCGCCAATCAAAAACTGTGCTATGGGTGCCACATTATACTGTGGACTGCGGTGGTGAAGGAAAGTGGTGGCTGACTGCAACGGGCTTTCTGCTTGTGAGTTGAACTCTGAACTTTATTTGTTTACAAGACAAACAAGTTGGACAGTTCCAATCAACATTACGGGATATGCACAACGTGACAGACAGGCGAAGCTGCCTTGGGCTCATGAATCTGAGTGGCCAGAGTCATCAGTGCGCAGGCTACCGCAAAATCAACAGTGCAAAATCTATTTGCATGTTCTGTGGTGCCGTGGGAGAAATCCCCGAGGCGTGCGCACCGTTGCTTGGGAGTTGGTTTACATGTGCAATCAGTTCGTTTAACCGGCTTCCTGTAATGGTGTTTCAACTCGGGCCCTGCGATAATTTCAGGCTGGGGCACCATTTCGGATGTCGCCAAGTGCAATACGTGTCGCCGAGCCTTGTATGGCACAGGATGTTGATGTGCTCTGGAGAATGTATATATCTCTTTCATTATGAAAAGCCGTCATGTTTGTCCGCAGTGATTCGCTTCTGGATTGTCCTAGCCCTGAGTGAAAGGCCAAGCCACAAAAATTGAAACCCCAAATCCCGTATTCTGGGGATGCTGCAGCCCTTACACTAAACCCCAAGGAAAGAAAACAATGTAACCAGGGGTCGGAACACTGTCCAGCATTTCGTCCCATTACAATCATTTCTCAACCATTTACCCAAATCCCTCTCCTAACTCTGAAGGCCCCTATACTAACCCCTTGTAGCAACCCTCAAAGAATCTTCTAAATAGGAACCCTCTTCGGAGCATTAAGGCAGCTCTACTAACAACCACCAAGTCAGAATCGAGCTGAGAAGCCCCTCCGGGGCGCCTCAGCCGGTACCTTTCCCAAGCTTCCAGGAATGACAGAGCCTGTAGCGTTTAGGGGTTTTTTCCCTCCTACTTAGCAAGGACAAAGCCCGCATTGCAGGGTAACGTCGAAGCAACAGCTGAAAGAGCTGTAGCGTTGACAGCTAATTGACGGTTCCCAACCGTAAGGCAACTTGTTGGCCTACATCTTCAGAACTCATGGTAACACTGCAACAGTCAAAAGAGCTGTAATAAACAGTGTCATCCAAAGGACTGCTCCAAAGCTCGATGCAACTTGTTGGCCTACAACCTCAAAGCTGCATGAAACACATCTTTTCGCAGTGTATAATAAGTTTACTAGGCATCACGCCCTTGTGGGCAAGCCCTCGAAGAGCAGTTTCATCTTGAAACCATATGCTCAGCAAAACAGCATTCCAAAGACTGTAGCCCTTCCTGGTTCATCACGAACCCTCGACTGGGAGCAGCAAGCAGGTTCAGCTTCAAAGTAGCACAACCAGATCAATATCCCAGTACCCTGATGCCGACACTCTCAGCGACTCTGAAACTTTCGCCAGTTGACTGACCATGCAGTCACTCTCGGCGCGAACACAGTGTTGCACCAACCAGGAGTTTGAATTCAGAATTCCCAAGCTTTAAGCCTAAAACCTTGTAACCAACCCCTTCCAATCCTGGCCGGCCTGGTCCCAAGCTGCCGAGACGTCGCAGGCAGCGAGGGCCGAGTTGAGGCCCACCAGGTCCGCCTGAAGTCGCAGAATGTCAGGGTTCAAGGTTAGAAGTGAGAAAGCTGGTAAATAAGATAGGCCAATATGAGATAAGATATAGGCAACGCAACGATAAAAATCGGTACATCGATAAAACTACAAATAAGGACGAAGATGAAGACACAAACAAACATCAAGAGCAATATGAAGCTAAGGAAATGAACACGGGACAGATAAACACACAACGGCGAAGATGAAATTAACTAGGTGGTCGTCGCTGCATAGATGAAATTAACTACATACAGTATCTGCAAACAAAGACAAGCATCAAGATACGGATGAAGAAACATAGAAACACAAAGATCAAGATAATGCTAGATGGGACAAGACAAGTTAAGTTCAGATAGCACAGGCCCTCTCCGCCTGAGACTTGTATTTAAAAAATGCGAACACGAAAAATGCAAGGACAAAACCCTTGAGCAACAAACACCGACCCTGTGAGCGACCGAGGGAATGACACCAACAAGAAGAAACTACTCCGTAGCGACATGGGAAGCATTCAACAGATGGAGAACAACATATCAGAACCGCGTGAGCATGCAATCAGCATCAGCAGGATTCACGACGTCATTTTCCATTTTTTCATGGAATTCAATTTTGTGTTCAAAGGGATCGGTGCTTTTTGCAGCTTTGTGGATATCCGATCGCCCTAGGTACAGGCGGGAAAACATGAGAAACAATGGGAGTAAAAGAAAACCGCGTGGCCATATAATCAGCAAGAGCAAAATGGACACGATGTTCCCATTACTTTCCAGTTTTCGTTCATGCTTACCCGTTTGTGTTTTCACATGGTTCGGTGCTTTTGCAAACTTCTGGATTCAGATCTACTGGGCCTGGGGGAAAATCCAACACCGAACCCTGCGGGAAAGCAATAGGAAACCTTGGAACGACCCCATTTGCTTACCGTTGCGCGTCTGATAGCCTGAGTACCTGGATTCCATCTGCAACCCCAACGACCCGCAGTGTTAACAGGACCGAGACATCTTATGCATAGGACTGGTACGTAGACCTGCAGATACAACGTAGCGACAGATAGACAAAGTGCGATCGAGAAAATTAAACTCGAGCGTACATGTAGAAGTAGAATTAGCACCTGTACCGTTATTGTTGCTGTGACTATCACTAGTACTCGAATTTTTAAAAACTGTGTACAAACACATGCAAGCGTGTATGTGCTGCTTTTTTTGCTTGACGTGTTGCTTTGGTTGTGTGTATGAGGCCTTGTGATGATGGGTCAAAATGTTCATGCATGTGGGTCTTTCTGTGGGTCTGTGGGTGGGGTAGGGTGGGTGTGGGTGGATGCGGATAGGGTGTGGGTGTGGATGTGGATGGGTGTGGGTGGCTGTCTGTGGGTGTGGGTGGGTGTGGGTGGGTGTGGGTGGGTGTGGGTGGCTGCGGGGTGCTCTGAATGAAGATGCTGGGCTGAGATCTGGGTCCCTCAGCGTGTTCCGCACCCTCTGCCGCGAACCTCAAGTAAGCAGCCCGCCCGAGGTGCCTTGTCCAGCAAATGCAGAGCGAGAAGCCACCTTGCAGGAGGATCCAGTACGAAATAAGGCCGATACATCTGTCGAGATCGATCTACCTCTATCTCTAACCCTAACTGTCTCTCTCGCTCTCGCTCTCGCTCTCGCTCTCTCTCGCTCTCTCTCTCTCTCTCTCTCTCTCTCTCTCTCTCTCTCTCTCTCTCTCTCTCTCTCTCTCTCTCTCTCTCTCTCTCTCTCTCTCTCTCTCTCTCTCTCTCTCTCTCTCTCTCTCTCTCGTTCGCTGTCTACACATATCTGCATATCTGTATATATATATATATTCTCTCTCTCTCTCTCTCTCTCTCCCTCTCTGTCTATCTGTCTATCTACGTGTCTCTGTATGTATGCGTACATAGATATGGGCATATACACATACAGACGGTCGTATTTTCTATTCTACCTATAGCCATTGTAGTTCCTTTTTGGGGTTACCTTATAGGATCCTAATTCTATACTTGGTTAAACCAAAAAACACTTTGCAAACCGAGGGGAGAGGTTGCGGACTCTGCCGCTTGGGGTCGCACTTGCCTAGCATTTCGGGCCAAACGAGGTCGAAGTTTAGAGGGAACAGGTTTGAGGGTAGCAACATCTGTGGTTGGAGTTGCTACTCTCTGCGCCCGATTCTCGGTTATGCGCCCCTGTGGTGACCGGCCTGGGGGGGAATAAGTTCTGACTTCAGGGTTTAGAGGTGTAGCACTTGTCGGATGGCGCTTCTCCGGAACTGCACTTGGTGTTGCAAGGCGAAGGTTCCTGAGGAACACACGCTGAGGCATACAACTGCAACACACTGCCTCTTCTCGCGAATGTAGTTTCGACGTCTGGTTGCCTGCCTTCTTTATTGTTAGACTTAAAAGTCCTAACCTTGACCCTGGTGAGCCAAGAAGGCCAGTATAGGTGAGCCTTACTTGCAGGGTCAGGGCAGCAGTTCCACGTATCCCGTATCCCCAAGCTAGGCTCATTGGGGTTATGAGACTCATCGCTCCATAAAATGCCTGCTTACTAAGTCTGCTAAGCCCACCCGGAGGCTCAACCACTTACCCCACCACCTGCCCGACTCGGCATAGCTGCTGATGACTGCATTCACATGGAGCTGGCTCCTGGCTAGTTCAATATCTGTATATACACATGATATGTGTATATGTATACATAATTGCATACACAGGCATACAAGTGTGTATACACATATGTATACATATATATTTATTTACTTATGCGTACACATCGATGAATATGGATAGTTGTATGTGTATACAAACGCACGGATGCTTCCATCTGTGCGGGGTTTCGACAGGGAGGCCTGATACATACATGCCTCGATGACAAGATGGGGGGGTCCTTAGGTAGTGGGGATGGCAGGAGCTATAGGCCCTAAACCCTAAACCCTGCCGCACACTGAACCTACGGCAAGCCTATCTAACCGGCTTAAGGGCTGGCCTATGGTGGTGTTAGACATACCGGGTTGTTGGTGTTTACATGGTTTACGAAAAAAGGGCGCTTTCTGTTTAACGGGTCTAGGAGGCAAGGCTTCGGGGTTTATAATGCTTTGGGGCTTCAGGCTACGGCGCTCACCCTCGGACATGCCAGGGTTCAGGTTTGAGGTTCACGGTCTAAGGCTTAATGGGAAGGCAGTTGCTCACTACTCGGGCCCAAGTTTCTGGATTCAGGGCCACAGTCTGTACTATCAGCATTACAAATCTCGGTGAATGCTGACATGCAGGTTCAAACGCATTTCGACTTCATGCGCCTACACGCTGAACCTCATTTGCTGCTAAAAACCCATTATTATTATTATAGTATTCTAGTATTATGGTATTATAGTATTGTGTTCCTCCGAACATCCAAACCCCGGAATCCGGCAAACACTCCCACAAGAGTTGATGCAAAACTGTGTAAAGTCTAACAACGCCAGTCGAGCTTGCCATCCAGATGTCGCCAACGCTCCTCCAACCGTATCTAACTGTACGGTTCAGGGTTTCTTCAAGCTGTACTTATAATGATACTAGACTACTTTTACTCGTACAGGATGCCACCACAGTAATTTGCAAGCCTTGCTTTCTGCGAGCCTCTGTGCTGCCTGTGGCTCATTGGGAAGGCGCCCGCCGCCTGGCTCATGAGGTCAAGCTCGTGCCGCTCGCCGATGGTCGGCTAGCGGCACGGCATGATGCTCATCCCTTCCTTCAATGGAGAAGCTCCTGTTCAGGTACTTCAGTAGGATGGCAAGATCTTCTTCAAACGTTGTCGGCGGCGGCTCAAAACTCATCCTATGTCTACCTCGCCCTCTAAACTCGCAAACCAGACTCCTACAATGCGTGACGGCGGCGACTAGGTTCTCACAGCCGCAATCCGATGAGCCATGAGCCATCACCTGCGACTGAAACTCTGCCTGGCCCCCGCGCAAAATATTCATGCAGCAAGGGGGATGGGACAGCCGAATTCGAGCTACTCGAAGAATCATCGAAGGGCACCGACATCTTCGGCCCCTGTGCCTCCTCGAACTTTACTCGGATGTCACGAGATATTGAAGTGAAAGCTCTGGTTCCTGCAAGTTCAATCAGGCACTTACGACGTCCACTGCGAGCCATGACTATGACTATGACGCGGTATGTGGCGACTAAAAAAACATCTACACAAACTTTGACCTTCCGAAACCACAGTCACTGTCAAATCCGGACTCGCAACACCTGTCGTCCCAAAATGGATGCTACTGCGCGTCAATATCCAGCCGTTGAACTCTAAACACTGCAACCTGGAAAGCGGCGCTGCATCCCGGCAAAACGACATAAAATCATGCCGACTCCCCACAACTCGTCGCTGCAGCAGGCTTGCACGGCAATCAGCTCCAAACCTACTGCCGCTTTGAGAAGCGTGAGATTCTCGGAATCGGCTCCACATCTTAAGTTCATCTAAGCCCATAGTAGGGAAGCACCATCCGACACAAAAGAATGCAGTAGGTACAAGCAGTGCTGCTGAACATGCAGATGTTATCCCTAAAGTTTTGCACACGGTGCTCAAATGCCCTTGCCTAGCACATTGGCAGCCTTCAGCGTGAAACCAAACAAACCCTCGGGGAAAGGCTTCACGCTAAAAGGCTTCGTGCTGCTTGCAAGACACTTCAAAATCCTTCTTACTATGTAGGCCGGAATTATAAACGTGAGGCCGTGAGGCCTGTCACCAGTAGGTCTAGACTCTATCAGCCGAGAGCAGCTGGAGAGGGCAGCACTGTACTCTTTGGCTGCCCTACTGCTGTGACGTCATGATAAGCATACCAGCTACGCTCCTCCGCTCACAAATTTCCTGCGGACAGGAAATGCATGCGGAGACGCTCCAAGGAGCCAGCCAAGAGGTCCGCGCTGGGCGTGGCATTCCCCGTTCGATTGGAGGACTGGTGCGTCACCAGGCCGATCAAGTTGGAGAAGTTCATCCTTCCAAGCGTCTTGTGGAGGTTGCGGAGATCGCGGTCCGAAACCACCTGCGACAAAGGCCGAGCTCCCGCAGACTCCTGCGCCAACATTCCAAGGATTTCTGCGGCCTCTTCGAGGAAGCCAGCCTGCTCGGCTTTGGTGCGGCAGAAGTGCAGCACCAACCCAAGCAACTGCGGACGGGTCAACGCTTGGATGATTGTACGCTGCCTCTTGTCGAGCTTGGGCGTCTTCTCTGTGTGCTCCATGTGGCAGTAGGCACAGGCGTTGCCGTTCTCGCAATGCCCGGCGATGAAGTAGATGCACGGGCGCCGGCATACCTCCGGATGTCCAAGGCTGCCCTGACTGGGCAGCAGCGGGAAGAACTCTGCCAAGATAGGCGGATGCTCAGGCTCCTCCAACTCCTCAGGGCTCATGGGGCTCTTTGGACTGGAGCTGCAAGCTGTGGTGGGCGTCGCATCTTGAGGCTTCATCAAGTCTGCTGTCTTCTGGGAGAGGGTGCCCACGTAGCTTCGCATGGCGTCCTCCTCGCTGGCGGCTTCCAGGCTGAAACTGATGCGCCGCACCCGCCCTGGCGGCGAGCTCTGCGCGCGTGCCCGGCTGGAGCCCATCTCCTCGAAGTCTTCCTTCACGTCGATAAAGGTGTTGCGGTACTCGAGCTCCAGAGCCATGGCGAGGAGATACTTTGTGCCTAAACCTCTTGGCGTAAATGTGTCTAAAGTCTAAAAGGCCTCAAACGTGCTTGCCAGCCAGATGTCGCGCACGAGCATCACAAGCATCGGCTTTAGGTCCGCTTTTGAGACATAATATGGCAAGCTGCGTACGCCCGCCGCTCTGCAGGGCAGCACCTCTCGACAACCCTCTTCTGGGACGTTTTCAGCGATCATTGGGAAGGTGCCTGTCACCTGGCCATGAGGTCAAGCTCGTGCCGCTCGCCCATGGTCGGCTAGCGGTACGGCATGATGCTCACGCCTTCCTTCAATGAAGAAGCTCCTGTGTAGGATGGCAAGTGGCAAGATCTTCTTCAAACGTTGTCGGCGGCGGCTCAAAACTCATCCTTTGTCTACCTCGCCCCCTAAACTCGCAAAACAGACTCCTACAATGCGTGACGGCGGCCAGTAGATTCTCGCAACCGCAATCCCATGAGAAATGAGCCATCACCTGCGACTGAAACTCTGCCTGGACCCCGCGCAAGATGTTCATGCAGCGAAAGGGGGCTGGGACAGTCGAGTTCGAGCAACCCGAAGAATCATATGTCGGTGCCTCATCGAACTTTACTCTGATGTCACGAGATTTTGAAAGTTCTGGTTCCTGCAAGTTCAATCAGGCACTTACGACGTACACTGCGAGCCAGGACCATGACGTGGCGTGCGGCGGCAAGACATCGGCAAAATGTTTGAGTTTCTGAAGCCACAGCCACGGTCAATTCTGGACTCGCAGCACCCGTCGTCCAAAAATGGATGCTACTGCGCGTCAATATCCAGCCGCTGCGTGCTAAACACTGCACCCTGGAAAGTGGCGCTGCATCCCAGCAAAACGACATAAAGTCATGCCGACTCCCCACAACTCGTCGCTGCAGCAGGCTTGCACGGCAATCAGCTCCAAACCTACTGCCGCTTTGAGAAGCGTGGGATCCTCGGAATCGGCTGCACCTCCTAAGATCATCGAAGCCCGTGCAATGGGGAAGCACCTCTCGTCACAAAATAATACGGTAGGTACAATCAGGCTGAATGTACACATGTTCGCCCTGGCCAAGAAGTTTTGCACACGGTGCTCAGATGCCCTGTTTAGCACACTGGCGGCCCCGAGCGTGAAGCCAAACAACCCTCCGGGAAAGGCTCCACCTTAAAAGGCCCGTGCTGCTTGCAAGACACTTCAAATCCTTCCTACTATGTAGGCCGGAATTATAAACGTGAGGCCGTGAGGCCTGTCACCAGTAGGTCTAGACTCTGTCAGTGGAGAGCAGCTGGAGAGGGCAGCACTGTACTGTTTGGCTGCCCTACTGCTGTGACGTCATGATAAGCATACCAGCTACGCTCCTCCGCTCACAAATTTCCTGCGGACAGGAAATGCATGCGGAGACGCTCCAAGGAGCCAGCCAAGAGGTCCGCGCTGGGCGTGGCATTCCCCGTTCGGTTGGAGGACTGGTGCGTCACCAGGCCGATCAAGTTGGAGAAGTTCATCCTTCCAAGCGTCTTGTGGAGGTTGCGGAGATCGCGGTCCGAAACCACCTGCGACAAAGGCCGAGCTCCCGCAGACTCCTGCGCCAACATTCCGAGGATTTCTGCGGCCTCTTCGAGGAAGCCAGCCTGCTCGGCTTTGGTGCGGCAGAAGTGCAGCACCAACCCAAGCAACTGCGGACGGGTCAACGCTTGGATGATTGTACGCTGCCTCTTGTCGAGCTTGGGCGTCTTCTCTGTGTGCTCCATGTGGCAGTAGGCGCAGGCGTTGCCGTTCTCGCAATGCCCGGCGATGAAGTAGATGCACGGGCGCCGGCATACCTCCGGATGTCCAAGGCTGCCCTGACTGGGCAGCAGCGGGAAGAACTCTGCCAAGATAGGCGGATGCTCAGGCTCCTCCAACTCCTCAGGGCTCATGGGGCTCTTTGGACTGGAGCTGCAAGCTGTGGTGGGCGTCGCATCTTGAGGCTTCATCAAGTCTGCTGTCTTCTGGGAGAG